TTCATACATTATCTGAGCCGTTAATTCATTCACACACTGAGCCGTTTATTCATGCACACACTGAGCCATTTATTCATTCACAAACTGTGCTTTTTATTCATGCACATACTGAGCCGTTAACTCGTTCACACACTGAGACATTTATTCATTCACACACTGAGCTGTTAATTCATTCACACACTGATCCGTTAATTCATTCACACACTGAGCCGTTTATTCACTCACACATTGAGCCACTTATTCATTCACACACAGAGCCGTTTATTCACTCACACATTGAGCCACTTATTCATTCACACACTAAGTCATTTATTCAAGCACACACTGAGCCGTTTATTCATTCACACACTGAGCCGTTTATTCATGCACACACTGAGCCGTTCATTCATTCATTCACACACTGAGCCATTTATTCATGCACACACTGAGCCGTTTATTCATGCATAACCTGAGCCGTTCATTCATTAACACACTGAGACGTTTATTCATTAACACACTGAGACGTTTATTCATTCACACACTGAGATGTTTATTTATGTACACACTGAGCCAATTATTCATGCATAAACTGAGCCGTTAATTGATTCACACACTGAGCCATTTAATCATGCACACACTGAGCCATTTATTCATTCACACACTAACCCGTTAATTAATTCACACACTGAGCCGTTCATTCATTCACACACTGAGCCGTTTATTCATGCACACACTGACTGTTCATTCATTCACACACTGAGCCGTTTATTTATGTACACACTGAGCCTTTTATTCATGCATAAACTGAGCCATTAATTGATTCACACACTGAGCCGTTTATTCATTCACACGCTGAGCCATTTATTCATGCACACACACACACTGAGCCATTTATTAATTCACACACATTGAGCTTTTTAACCATTCATACACTGAGCTGTTTATTCATTCACACACTGAGCCTTTTATTCATGCACACACTGAGCCGTTTATACATTCACACACTGAGCCGTTTATTCATTCACACACTAAGCTATTCATTCATTCACACAGCTATGCACTATTTGCAAATGATAAGATTTACATAATCAGCTCTGATTCCAGCTCAGGACACTTATAGAGTTATTCAGTAAAGTGAGAATTTAAAGTGAATTTCAGATATAACTGACGAATAGTTGGACGAATAATTTTCTTTTGGCGTTAAATGAGAAATTCACTTTTAATTACCAACGTTAATGCATAACTCAAACTGTCACTTCGTCACAACTGCTGTTTTAGGGGTTTAACCTCCAGGTTTCTTTGAAAATGTAAACGATTGCTCCAAAGCTTACAATCTAAACAAATAAAATGAAATGGTTAAATAGTGGGTGTGGCCTGGGGGGGCTCTTTAGGGCATTTTAATTGATTTTATGGCCTGATAGCTGTTTACATAGATTACAATGTATTTTATTTACGCAAACTGAAATCTAAAAACGATTACTGTGGTTTAAAGATGCGAAACTACTGGGATTTTCTATCTGCAACACATACAGTACTAAGCTAAAATCCAAGCCTGTCGAAGAGAATGATATTAGATGAGAAAAGAAGGACAGCACTAAAAATAGGGAATGTCTTTAAAAAGTAGGGACACTTTAGAGCTATGATTTATCCCTGTTTCAATAAACTTGTAATGAAAATATTCAATTTTTATCCAGCACTGAGAACTGTTTATCTCTCTGTGTCCTGCAATAATACGGGGAATTCTGGCTGAAATTTCATCTACACAGTTCCTACCAACGATGGAAGGAACTGGCAAAGAACAACAGGAGGTTAAGCTGTTCAATATGGGTGTTTGGCGACAACTCCAGCTCAGCTTCGCTGTTATCACTTCAGAACCTTAAAACATTTGGAAATATTTATGACCTTAGACTAATTTACATGTGCTGAGAGACGCGTGTGCGGAGAACCTTTATTTCAATATGATAAATAACATTCCAACTGCTCAGCCTGTGAACCCAGATGGGCGATCTCCGGCATGTGATATATAGATTGCTGTATATATATTATATCTGCTGGGTTCTCACTGTAAAGCCAGATGGGCGATCTCCGGCATGTGATATATAGATTGCTGTATATATATTAAATCTGCTGGGTTCACTCTGTAAACCCAGATGGGCGATCTCCGGCATGTGATATATAGATTGCTGTATATATATTAAATCTGCTGGGTTCACTCTGTAAACCCAGATGGGCGATCTCCGGCATGTGATATATAGATTGCTGTATATATATTAAATCTGCTGGGTTCTCTCTGTAAACCCAGATGGGTGATCGGCATGTGATATATAGATTGCCGTATATATATTAAATCTGCTGGGTTCACTCTGTAAACCCAGATGGGTGATCTCCGGCATGTGATATATAGATTGCCGTATATATATTAAATCTGCTGGGTTCACTCTGTAAACCCAGATGGGTGATCTCCGGCATGTGATATATAGATTGCCGTATATATATTATATCTGCTGGGTTCACTCTGTAAACCCAGATGGGTGATCTCCGGCATGTGATATATAGATTGCCGTATATATATTATATCTGCAGGGTTCACTCTGTAAACCCAGATGGGTGATCTCCGGCATGTGATATATAGATTGCCGTATATATATTAAATCTGATGGGTTCACTCTGTAAACCCAGATGGGCGATCTCTGGCATGTGATATATAGATTGCTGTATATATATTAAATCTGCGGGGTTCACTCTGTAAACCCAGATGGGTGATCTCCGGCATGTGATATATAGATTGCTGTATATATAATAAATCTGCTGGGTTCTCTCTGTAAACCCAGATGGGTGATCTCCGGCATGTGATATATAGATTGCCATATATATATTAAATCTGTGGGGTTCTCTGTGTAAACCCAGATGGGTGATCTCCGGCATGTGATATATAGATTGCTGTATATATATTAAATCTGCGAGGTTCTCACTGTAAGCCCAGATGGGTGATCTCCGGCATGTGATATATAGATTGCTGTATATATATATTAAATCTGCGAGGTTCTCACTGTAAGCCCAGATGGGCGATCTCCGGCGTGTGATATATAGATTGCTGTATATATATTAAATCTGCGGGGTTCACTCTGTAAACCCAGATGGGCGATCTCCGGCGTGTGATATATAGATTGCTGTATATATATATTAAATCTGTGGGGTTCTCTCTGTAAACCCAGATGGGCGATCTCCGGCGTGTGATATATAGATTGCTGTATATATATTAAATCTGCGGGGTTCACTCTGTAAACCCAAATGTGAGGTTCCCCCTCCCCATGGAAGACCGTCTCTTGTAATTTATAATATTAGCTACATTTTTCTTTTTTGTTTTTGAATTATGAGAAGTGACGTACTCCCAATGACACCCAGTAATGTTTAGATTTAAAATCAGAACAGCCAGAATTCTTCCTTCATGGCAGACTAATTGCTCGGTTCTGAGTGCAATGGATTGGACCTGCTTATAAATCCTCAGAATGTGGGAGCTATTCCTTGATTTTTGCTTTTCTGAAATAAACACTTTGATAAATGTACTTTTTGGGGAGCCTGTTTCCCGTTTCATGTTATAGTGGGTACCGCATACAATATACACACACACCTCTCTCTCCAAACTGCTATTCCTGTCTGACTCCTTGCGATTAATTAACACGCTATTGGTTACAAAGTTGCTGGATGTGTAACCGCACAGGATAATGTCTCAGAATATGCTACCTCGTACCCGGGCAGCAGACTCACAGCGCCTTGATTGCCTTGTCAGGAAGTGAACATTTAATTGTGTGTGTATGTGGGATCCATAATGAATTACACGTAATTCTATAAAGATGTATGTTAGCAAGGTACACGCTGGCTGCACGCTGGCAAACGAGGTGCATTATCCTCGCAGACGGAGCTGCATTTCGGGAAATGATTTCGGCCTTTTCACCGTAAGTAATTCTCTTCTATTTGTAAAATGATTCTCAGCAGGCTCATTGTGCAATATTAGATTCTACTACAGATTAAAGGACTCGGGACTCACAAACCACACCACCCACTTGTTTATCATTATGGAAGGTGAACGCGTATAGGATTAACTAGTGATTAATCAGAGAAACTGCCCAGTACACAAAGCAGGTTCAAAATACTAAACTCAGGGATTGCAGGAATGTGGCCAGAACAGCACAGGTTTTTTTTGTGTGGTCTCTTCTTGAACTGTTAGTGGAGAATGGAAGGGCTGGTATAATATGGTGGATCTAGGCCTCCTTCCCACAACACCAGAGACCAGGAACTCACGATGGACTCCCTAGAAGGAGCTGGGAGTATTGTCCAATCAGTTCCCACAATCCTTTCATTGCATTGCATACCTCTTCACATGGACCGCAAGTCTTTTCATTGAGTTGTTCTGCTGAGATTGTTTAAAAAACAAACAAAAAAAACCCCATTAACATGTGTTGCATCTTTTTCACGTTTTAGCTTCATGTCCACAGTTTGGGGTCAGCTGGTATCTGCAAGTAAAGAACTGGCACCAGAGATGGAAAGAGAGCTGTTAGCAAGTGATGCTTTCAATGTATTTAGAACTAGTATCATAAATAAGATATCGAGATCTAAGTGTTCCTGACGCTATACACAAGGCTCTCTCGCGATTTGAATAGATTGTTGCTTTGTTAATATCTAGAACCAAAGTTGGCAAGGAGGCAAGGTAACTCATAACAATAACCTTTTTGTAGGCAGCATAACATTATCCATCAAAGTTTTGTGCATTTTCTTTATCTCCAATGTTTCAGCGGTAATCAAACTACTGTTGATCTCCTTCCAATGACAATTCTTGGGCATCGTTCAAATTACTGGCCTTAATTACAAGATTTATTATTGGAAGGGACCCTGGAGCGGAATGCAAAACTAGGTACAAGGGAGAGCCTGGATATATGAAGCTTAAATGCACTGCAGACAAATCTATCGTACAAACACATTGATCCGATTATCATCCAAATTACAGGAGCAGCGGCAGCTGAATGACTCAAGATTTCAACGTTCTCCAAGTCAGCTTGTCTGATGGAACACCGGTGCACAAGGGGGTGTTTGGCTTCGACGGAGTTGGATCTCACACCGGGAAAAAGAACTGGCATTGGAAAGATTACAGTTCTGTAACCTGGCCAGTATCTAAGAGGCTTAACGAATGTTTTAATGAAGACCTCCAGACACAAGGGATGTGGGCTGCCAGGCCTGTCTTGGAACTGGCACGCACCATGTTAGTTAGGCCAGGTTATTGTAGACGCTCGAGAAGAGGCAAGCTGCAAGATGACTTTAAGGACAAAGTTAAAAAGAATAAAGAAAACTATGCAGGTTCTGAAAGTACAATTAATATTTTAAATGCAATGAGTGTAAACTAAAATATACTTTTTTTGTCAAAGAGAATGTGAATGACTTTTTTATTCGTAAACAAATGAATGGATTTGACAAATTTGAAGTGCCAGTCCGTAGAACCGTTACTGCTGGCTCTATTTTTATAATCCCCGTCCCCTAAAATTCATGAACAAAATAAAATATACAAAGAAAATAATAATGATTTCTCAGTTTCGGCTCTGGATCTAATATCTGGTAATGAGCCTCCCTGGCAGATCATTGACCTCCTGGTGGGAAGATGAGGCTGCCGTTAATGATTGCACCCAGTCAACGTATAACGTGAGACAGTCTCTGGATCTAAAATCTGGTAATGAGCCTCCCTGGCAGATCATTGACCTCTTGGTGGGAAGATGAGGCTGCTGTTAATGATCGCACCCAGTCAACGTATAACGTGAAACATTCTCTGTATCTAAAATCTGGTAATGAGCCTTCCTGGCAGATCATTGACCTCCTGGTGGGAAGATGAGGCTGCCGTTAATGATCGCACCCAGTCAACGTATAACGTGAAACATTCTCTGGATCTAAAATCTGGTAATGAGCCTTCCTGGCAGATCATTGACCTCCTGGTGGGAAGATGAGGCTGCCGTTAGTGATCGCACCCAGTCACCGTAGAACGTAAGACATGCTCTGGGTCTGAGATCTGGTAATGAGCCTCCCTGGCAGATCATTGACCTCTGGGTGGGAAGATGAGGCTGCCGTTAGTGATCGCACCTAGTCACCGTAGAACGTAAGACATGCTCTGGATCTGAGATCTGGTAATGAGCCTCCCTGGCAGATCATTGACCTCCTGGTGGGAAGATTAGGCTGCCGTTAGTGATCGCACCCAGTCACCGTAAAACGTGAGACATGCTCTGGATCTGAGATCTGGTAATGAGCCTCCCTGGCAGATCATTGACCTCCTGGTGGGAAGATGAGGCTGCCGTTAGTGATCGCACCCAGTCACCGTAGAACGTAAGACATGCTCTGGATCTGAGATCTGGTAATGAGCCTCCCTGGCAGATCATTGACCTCCTGGTGGGAAGATTAGGCTGCCGTTAGTGATCGCACCCAGTCACCGTAAAACGTGAGACATGCTTTGGATCTGAGATCTGGTAATGAGCCTCCCTGGCAGATCATTGACCTCCTGGTGGGAAGATGAGGCTGCCGTTAGTGATCGGACCCAGTCACCGTAGAACATAAGACATGCTCTGGGTCTGAGATCTGGTAATGAGCCTCCCTGGCAGATCATGACCTCCTGGTGGGAAGAGGAGGCTGCAAAGAATTCTTTATAAGCCATGCTTAGCTGCTCCTCCAAACTGCCATGACTAGTAGAACTGGACCACTCCTCGCTGTCCTGTACAGAATAGGCATTTAATGGCTGGCAGAAAGGGCTGCAAGATATGCTGAGTATTTTCAACAACTAGACACGTTTATTTTAAATAGGTGACTGATTTAAATTAAAAATAAAATTAATCTGATAATTACGCATTGTTTATTTAAGGCGACATAGTACAACAGGCTCAGTATTTCAGTTTTAAGAATGATTGCGTTATTTTTTCCAGATGAACTGCTGAAATAATATACACTAATTATTAAAGTGACAGTTTTCAAAAACCTTTCGGATGTAAGATACCAAAGGGGGATTTAAGGTGTGTTGGACATACATATTAGGGCAGGTTGGTTGCCTTAAAGGGACATTAGACCATTTAATAGAATATTGAAAACCAGCTTACCAGTTTAAGCTCAATTTTCTTTTAAATATATTTTAAAGCTTTATCATCACAGTCCAGTTCAGTCCTGGAACAGTCAGCACAGACAATGCTAACAAAGAGGAGATACAGAAAGAGTGAAAGAAAAGGGAGTGGATTTTATATTAGATTTTATTCTTCAGATCGTACAGACACATACTGGATTTGTTAAACATAAGCAAACAGTGTTAACGTGAATCAATGCTGTAGGCCCCTTTAAACCTCCCCTCCATTGCCATCTAAACAGGGGACAGTGTGCTGAACTTATATCCATTTGTATTTGAAAGGTGATTGGAATATGATACAGCATCCCTAGAAAGTATCGAGGACAATGTAATAAAATCACATTAAACAATCAGTTTTTAAATAACTTTCTATTTCTATCTAACAGCCAAAACCTTAAAAAACAAAAATGATACACAATAGATCTGCCTAGATTTGTCTCCTGGGTTATAAATGTATAAATGACATAGACCTTGGATAGTGAAGCTGTGTCGTTCCATAACGGAGAAAGATTATCCTCAATTTAATTATGTCGGCTCTGATGTAAGATGACCTGATAGGATGTAAGAAAATATTTGTTCTACACATCCTTTATGGACATTTAGAGGAAATTGAGTCATCATTCCAGTGTGATGTTTAACCAGTAATTTATTAGGTGGGAGGATCGAGATGGGAATTACCTGTTATAAAATAAAAGATTAATTTTTGTAATTTGTCCTCATTTCCTGGTTCTCTTATTCGGATCCCCATCTGCATTCTACTCTAATTGGCTTCACCACCTTGTGCTAAAGCATTCGTTGAGCCATGTACCCCAACATACATCGAGTACCCCAATATTTACATATCAAATTCTCTAAAATTCTGAAAATAAACACTGGAGGAGAAACCGAGATAATGATCGAATCTACCAAGATGTTTATGTGATCAGATGTTCCTCGATGCATTGTGTTTTCATGATCTTTAGTGGCGTATCACTGCCCAGTAAATCTTGTTCTGCATCGCCATCGTGACTTGTCTCATCATTCCTGGCGTGTTCGGCTTGTTCTCCGTCTGACCCGCTGTCTGGTTTATCGGATTTGTGGTGCACTGACTTTACATTATTCTTGTTTGGGTTTATTGTTACTTGTTGTCATGTGGACAATTTATTCCATTTAGAAAATGTCTATTTGTCGGCCATCTTTCCTGACTGGTAACACACCTTCTCAGCCCTACTCCTGCAGACATGGATCCAAACTAGACGGCGGCAGCTGGGCCGGACATTGGGTAGGAAGCGGACAGACTGAGGCCCTTGACATCCCAATTAATTGGCACTATAAAGCAGTATGTCACTGTGGCAGTCACTCGTATTTTTGCCAGGCCAGATGTTTGTAAACTACAATTCCCATGATGTATCATGGGAAACATACCTCACAGACATCTTGAGGAGTCAGGGTTAACCATAACTACTGTAGCGGTTAGAGAGCAAAATGTTAAGGTGACAGGAATTGCTTTCTTGCTCTTCGTGGCTTATGTTACTTTTCGTAAAACACATTTTGTCACTGCCATCCCCGGATCCATCACAGACACGAGACCAGGGAAGAGAGAAATCACGCCGAGCCAAAGCTCAACATGACACAAAGAAAACAAGGGAGGAGATGAGAGGGGTGCTGGTGATCCGTTCTGTCTGCTGTGAGCTGGGCTGTAATCAATTTACATTTTAAGTATCCAATTCAACTTTTCTGGCACCGAGAGCTCCATCTTTCCCATTTTATTTGTGATCCGGCCAAGATGCTGACAATTTAAACTGAAGTCATTATAAACTCCCTGAGCAGGATACGCTGGGCCTCCATTGTGGAAATGAATGAAAAGGGGGGGGAAGCGATAATTGGGCCGTTTGATGGTAACCCAATTCGATCAGCGTCTGATACCAATATATGTGTACAAGTAAAACACAAAACATGTTTCTCTCTGTAAACGTAACACTGGAAGGACGAAGAAACGCTAACCCTTTAATAATAATAATAATAATAATACCATTGCTTACTTTGTAATACATGTTCGAAATACTACACAATATAACTGGTTACAGATATGTGAATAAATCAGCGATAGGGCAGGTTAATAATGAGACTGGGTAATGTGTGGGAATGAGAACAGCCGACAAGGGGGTGGGGTGCAGGAGTACGTTCGATGTAAATGGTTGTGCTATTTTTAGTGAGGACTTGAGTGGCAGGGGAGGTAATGGGTTTCAAAAGTTAGATGCAGCACAGGGAGAGAGTGATGGATATAGTGTGTGAGAGGGAGGAGAGGGGGATAGATATAACGTGTCAGAGGGAGGAGAGGGTGATCGATATAACGTGTCAGAGGGAGGAGAGGGTGATAGAAATAATGTTGGTGTATAGTTAAGCATGCAAAAGTGGACCATGGCACAGAGAGAATGGATTGTGAAACGATAGGTTATATGTGGAGGGACGGGGGACTGAAATAAATGAAGTTAAAAAACACAGTTACTGTAAGGACAGATTTCTGATTGCCTATTAGTGTTTTGGGGGTTAGTGTTCATGTTTTTAAGGGTTATAAACACATATTGTGCAAACCCGGGATGTGACAGATCCACCTATATTGCTGGTTCATCTGTTTCCCCTTTATTTCGCTGGAGTCCCTGTTCGTATGCCCCTGTTCGTGAAATTACAAAATGCCGATTGAAACTACCGAACGAACGACCACCCAGGAGAGGAGTGTGCTGCTGGTTAACCTCTTGGCCCCAATTAGAACATTGTGGTTAACCGCAGACACCTCTCCATTCCATTCGTACGGGTGGTCGTCGTTCGCATGCCGACCATGAGGCGGCGGCCATTTTGGGACACGAGAAAGCGTAGCGGTGTTCGGTACAAATTCTATGGAACTAAAAACGGACACTTTAATCTACCGAACACCGCTGGAAGCTGATGCCCCCCCTTCTATTTCGGCGAGGCATACGAACGCCGGTCTGTTCGGGAGTTTTATGCATTCGTATGGACCTTTACCCAGATAGCCGTCCCATGGAGTCATTCGTATACCGAAGGACTGGTGAAAGACTTTGACTCCATGGCGATTCGACTAGATACATCGGATCTGAGCGCTATTTGGTGGAAATATGCACTCAGATCCAGGCTGTCTGGGGATACGTTATACGAACTATATTCATTCGGTATTTTCTAAGTTATGTATTTTAATGTATTTTTATTACTGTATTTCAAAATGGCGATGGTCTCTATCCTAGGAGATAATTAGGTTTC